GGTGGGGTGGGGGGGGGGGGCGGCGTGGATCAGGGACAAGCTACGCAGAAAGGGAACAGGCGAACATTAGACCCACACTGACGGATCTGTGGCTTGGGTCACACTGCAGTCTGTGCCTAGAATATGCCCCGGGGGTCAGGGGGCGGAGGATAGAGGGTGGGTGTCTTGCCCACTGAATATACAGTCAACTCGCTTTGCGGTCAGTTCTGCGAAGCGCTTTAAAACGTCTCGAAGACGTGATAAGGCGCCAAATGCAAGGATTATTATTATTACATTCAGCCTCTCTGCCCTCAACCTTTGGAACTCCCATCCCACAATCCCTCCGCCTCACCCCCTCCCTCGCCTCCTTCAGAGAAAAGAATAATCCTCGGAATATCCTTGATAACAGCGCCTTTCGCATCAGGAAGACGTCTCAAAGCGCCTCACAGGGTTTGGACTGTAACGTGTAATATACCGAATACCTCAGGGGAACATGGCAGACATGTGTACCGGGCGACACCCGACAATTTATTTAGCGTTCCGTTTCTTTTTAGGCCACTCTTCAGTGACGGGGAGTGTAACATCAAAGCTCACCCCCAACCTGGTCCACAACGCAACACGAGATTTATCAGATATTTTTCTCGGATACATTAATCTCCGAGGTTCGCTTTGACGCCTGTAACCATTCCGATCTATTATGTTCACACTGGAACCAGTTGTCCTGATACCTGGCTGGCTTCATTGCCGGCAGCTTAACGGTTGCGGAGAGGAGGAACGAGCGAGAGATCTCACAGCGCTCCGGCCATGATCAATTAATTCATTGATTCATCAATGAGTCCATTAGTTAATGAATTAGTTAATTAATTACTCAGTCAATTAATTTGTCCAACCCTCAATAAATCAGGAGCCGGGCCAGGATCGTGGGCACTGCTGCAACACCCAGTTGTATGGAAGTGGTGGTGCGTGCGTGGTTGTGTATGTGCGTGAGTGTGTCTGTGAGTGTATGTGTGTGTGTGTGTGTGTCTTGTCTGTTGTCTGTGACTGCGTGGTGCATGTGTCTGTGAGTGTATGTCCATGAGTGTGTGGTATGTGTTTCCGTGTGTGTGTGTGTGTGTGTGTGTGCATGTGTCTTTGTGTGTGTGTGTGTCTGTGTGTGTGTGTGTGTATGCGTGTGTGTGTGTGAATCTGGTGTGCACGTGAATATGGTGTGTGTGTATAAAAATAATCACATCTCTGGCTTCTGTAGCCAGCTGAGAGCTCAGCAAACGCAGGCAGGGAAATAGATTTTTATTTTAAATAATTAAGATGAAATCTTGACTGATGTGGAGCTTGGTGTCTCCCTCTCTCTCTCTCTCTCTCTCTCTCGCGCTCACGTTTTACCACATGCGGAAAGAGGCCCAGAGACAAGGCAAGCTATGAGAGCAGAAGAAGTTGAGGGCAGAGGCCATACGATAACAACAACAACAACAACAACATCAACAGGCGTTTATACAGCCCCTTTCACTCAAGGTTACGTCTCGAATGCACGGATTGCACAAGATCACAAGAGACATTCTGGTCAAGATGAGCCTTTGACCCATTTGATCTCGTCTTTTTTTATTGAGAGATGATTTGGGTGGGCGGGCGGGTGGGGGTAATTGGGGGTTCAGCTGGGTGTCTGACACGCGCGGAAACCCATCACCGTGCTTAAAAGAGTATCCGAACCAAACTGAGAGACTCTACCCTTGCGCGAAGAGCGCGATATAAACGTTGTCATTGAAGGTCCCGTGCGCGTGTCCCACCTTACGCGTGGAAACTCCCGAGGCAGGAACTCGATAGAGGAGTTTAAGACGCCGGTTTAGAATACCTTTTGGGATCACGCGATCGTTTCGGATGAAGAAGGCTGTTCGGCCCGACCCCATCTCATCCTTTCGGAACACCCGCCCTACAGCGACCCCATCGCAGCATCGAACAGCTTTGTAAATCAGTCCCCGGTGTCCCAGCTTCACCCATGACGTGCAGTTGGATTCGGGTCTAAGCCAGACCGAGCGCTTTCCTCCCCGGGACAGATTGGGTGGAAGTTGGAGCGTGTGAGAAGCTCGGGTTTTGGGTAGATCGGTGAGAAAAAAAGCATGCAGTTTCCCAGTTTATAGTCTCCGCTTTGAAGTGCATCTGTGTACTTCATCACTGACAGCAAGCGAGAGACGGTAAGCACTGATAACACATGTGAATAGGAGCTGTCTGGGAGATGATCCGTTTTAAGCTGCATGTAGGTCAGAGACGGCGCAAGGGTTAAGCTGCCTCTTGATGGTGAGTTTCCAAAGACTGCGGAGATCACAGCTGGCAATCAGAAGGTGGCGCGCGCGAGTGTGTGTGTGCGCGCGCGTGTGCGTGTGTGTGTGCAAGTGTTTGTGTATGAGATCTTCTCCCCTCCGTTCCCCTGCCCCCCCCTCTGCTCAGCACCGCTTTCCGCTGTGCTCTGATTCTAAGGGGAACATCTTCTTGGTTTTTTTTCTTTCTCTGAGCCAAGCATTTTCTTTTAAGTTAATGTGCGTCGACTGCAGGAGTGAAAATGGGACACAGCCCGAGCTTCGGCGCAGATTAATGATGCCTGAAATAAACACGTCCCAATACGGACACCGAAACCACATGCGCTGCGCACTCTCCCAGCACTCCAGACAGATCTCCACGTCACCACCGAGTCGAGGGCGGGTGTTTACAGAGGCCTGCGATACACGATAAATATCCTGGCGTTTGATCCAGCGCCTTTCACGCGGGACGCACGTCTCAAAGCGCTTCACGGAATTGCACGAGAAAAATGTGGTGTTTTGCCAAACAAGAAAGTTAGAATCCTTGCGATTGACACAACGCCTCATCACGTCTTGGAGACGTCTCGAAGCGCTTCGCAGAATATACCGTAAAGCGTAGTGACTGTATATTTTGCGGGGGAAATGTGACAGCCGACTGCGCACAGCAGTGTCCCACAAAGAGTGACCAAATTGTCGTTATTTTTTTTGGAAGGGCTTATCCACCAATCGACTAACAACCGGGTTCCTACTTAACTGTTGGGTAAACAGAGGCGAGTGTGCGGAGGAAGGGAAGTTGCCTGAGGTTTTGCCCTATCGTGATTCGAACCCAGTGCCTCTCGCTCGCGGGGCGAGCTCTCAAACGTGAGGGGCAATCAGCTTTTTTTCAGGCCCGACCACAATCCCCCCACCCCTCTCCTGATTGCTCAACATCTGTCCTGTTATTAGGACACCCCCCACCCCCCCAACCTTGCGTCCCACATCACAGACACCACCCCCCACCCCCCACCCCCCACCCCCCAAGCCCATAGCGGCTGCAAGTCAGAAGTTCTGAGAAATGTTGAGCTGCGCGGATAGCAGTCAAGCGAGAGACATTGACCAGGGAGGGGGGAGGTGGGGGGGGACGTCGGGTGGTTGATGGCGAGGTGGAGGGTAGAGGAAAAAGCTGCTGTGGTTTCATTTTCATCTCTGATATTTCCCATCATGTCAGCACATTCCTCCAGGCTCAGGAGATTGGATGTCAGATTTCTTAGGTTATGGGCAGAACGAAAGTCGAGTATTTTTTTGGGAGCAAACTCGGCCAAATCTCAGCGGAGGAGATTGTGAGTTCAGCTCAGTCTCTCCAGTCGAGAACCTGGTGCATTGTTCGACGCGGATACAGAGAATTATGGCAGTGCAACCCTCGATACAGCATCTTAACGTGTCGAGAGGATGGATGTCCCAAAGCGCCCGAAACAGCGTCTGAATTTCTAGGTGAACCGAGAATTGTAGTTGGCCTTTGAGGGAGTGGGGGTGGGGGAGGGGAGGTGGGGAGCCGTGAGCAAATTGGCCGCCTACAAAATACACAGTCGCTGCCACGAGTCCGTGTGGGAGGGGTGGTGGGAGCCCAATGAAGGACGTGGGGAAGGAAGGGAGAGATGACTGAAAGGGCGATTAGAGGAGCATCTTGAGATGGGCCTTGAACAGTGGAGGAGAGTGAGGGAGGGAGGGAGTTGGAGGGACTCCAGGATGGAGTTCCATCGGGAGCGGGATGTGTAGGTGGGTGAATGGCTGAACGCCCGGCCTCCCACGGTGAACTCCCAATTCCCTGCGGAGCGCTTTGGAGAGAGACGTTGCGGGCTGAAGGGAAGGCAATAAGGAAAGGTCAGAGACTGACAAGTGTCCCTCTCAGACGGTGATCGTCTGTCAGGAGGACTCAGCCTCTGGGTGACAAGCCGTTTGATTAGTTCTACTCACGTAAGGGGCATTAGCGGGTGCAGCAGCATCTTAACAAAGAAGCGAGGACATGTGCGATCGATGCCACACATTGATCCTGCCCATCAGCCTCTGTTTAGCAGCCGCCTTAATTACCAGCTTCGAGGGTAATGACTGAGATTAGTGGGACATGAGAAGGTCACGGTTGGGCAGGGAGCAGGGCTCGCCATCACATTTTGGAGCAGAAACAGAAGTGGCTGGGAACGCTCAGCGGGTCAGGCAGCATCTATGGAGAGAGGAAACGCGAGTCAACGCAATTTGGGTCGCTCTCTGAAGCTAATCTCGCGCCGTCTGCGTGAGAGCAATTCCCCGTTCGACTTCCCGTCCTGAGCCGTTTAATCGTAATGATAATGATGATGAGAATAATCGTCATTCTGGGGTTTGACGATAGCGCCTTATCACGTCGGGAAGGACGTCTCAAAGCGCTTCACAGGATTTACAGCGAAATGGAACGTATTTGTACACAGCCAAGCACTCCGGGACGCTGTGTAAATGCAAGCTGTTGTTGTTGTTGTTGCTGTTGTTGTTGTGGGCAGACGCGGCAGGAAACTAATTGATCAAATGAAATTCTAATTCTGACCAAGTGACGTGTTGTTATTTCGTAAAAGAGACAAAAGCTTTCGGTGACGTGATTTGATGGGATGTGGACTTTACTCACGGTTACGTTTCTCCCCCCACCCTCCCCGCCCCCGCCCCCACCCCCTCTCCGCCCCTCCTGCCCGGCCTCCCCCCCCCCCCGCCCCCCCCGCCCGCCCCCGACAGGTGGGATCTGCATTGCTCAGGTTCTGAAGATCCCGACCGACCCGAAAAGGGTCGATTACGATCGGATCATCAAACGCCTCCTCGACACGTCCAACGTCCGCGGCGTGGTGATCTTCGCCAACGAAGATGACATCAGGTAAGAGAATCCGCTCACTCGGGTCCCCTCTGCGCCCCGTCTTGGCCTCGTCACCCCTCCTACCCCCAACCCTCCCGGCCCTCCACCCCCTCCCGATCCCAACCCACGCACCGTCCGCCCCCCACCCCACCCCCACCAAGTCCAAATCCCTGACTGTCCAGCGCCTTGGGACCTCCTCCCAACACGAAAGGCGCCGTGTAAAATGTCATGCATTACTGTTGTTGTGTAGAGACCGAGGCTCCTCTGGCTGAGGGTCTGTGTGTTTGCTCTCTTCCCCCTCAACCATCCCCCCCCAGACAGGTGCTGGCAGCATCCAGCAGAGCCAACAAGGCGGGGCACTTTGTGTGGGTGGCCTCCGACAGCTGGGGCTCTAAGAGCTCTCCGGTGAAACAGCAGAGCGACGTGGCAGAGGGCGCCGTGACCATCCTGCCCAAGAGGGCCTCGGTGGAAGGTAAGAGCTCGGCTCAGCTTATAATAATAAGAATAATAATCCTAATAATCCTTGTATTTGATACGGCGCCTCATCACGTCTTCTCGACGTCTCAAAGCGCTTCACAGAATATACTGTTAAGTGAATTGACTGTATATTTGTGGGCCAAACTCGGCAGCCAATTGCGCACAGCAGCGTTCCCCCCACAAACAGTCGGGGGATTAAGTGACCAATTTATTATTATTATTTTTTTTTGAAGGGATTATCACCCCCGCCATCCCCTCTCCCGGAAAAGCCACCCGCCAGTCGGCTAACAACCGGGTTCCTACTTACTGCTCGGTAAACAGAGGCCTTCTCCATCGATGCCTTCACTTCAGAACCTGACGAGATTTCAAGGAAGTCACATCTGAGCCCTTAGTTGTCACGGGCAGAGAGATGGCGAAGGCGTACATGTTTTGGAACAAAGCGACAGTTTTCCTCCCTCTCCCCCTCTCTCTCTCTGTCAGGCTGATTGACTCACTTTTTGATGAGCTATTGCCGGTAACTTGCTCCACTTGGTTTGACAATTGATGCGGTTTGCCCGCCTGCCTTCTGTGTAAAAGCTTCTGTCCCAGTGCCCGCGACTGATTCAGATATCCCAGATCTGAGACGCCATCAAAATTCTTGGCAATGGAACAGACACTTTGGCAACAGAGCACTACGGCCATTCTAGTGGTTGTGGAGTCCCGTAGCTCAGTGGTGAGATCACTTGCTTCCACAGACGAGAGACTTGGGTTCGATTCCCGGCAGAGCGAAACCTTGGCCAAATTTCCTTGCTCCACCCCCCCCCCACCCCGATAACAAACCTTCAAGGAAAAATATAATGATAAGTTGGTCACTCAGTCCACGACTGTCTGTGGGGCGCTGCTGTGCGCAATCGGCTGCCGCGTTTCGCCCACAAATACGCAGTCAATTCACTTTACAGTGTACCCTGTGAAGCGCTTTGAGACGTCTCAAAGACGTGTTAAGGCGCTGTATCAAATGCGAGGATTATTATTATTTTTTCCTATAGTGTCCCGCGTTGTAGTTCACAATAATTAAAGCAGATGTTCCTACACGATATCCCTCAGCGGCGCTAACGTTCCGTAAGGTCTCAATATCATTTCCTGTATTCGAACGCGCGCAACAACGTCAGTTCCTGCATTCGAATGCTCACAATGAGGTCATTTCCTGAACTCAAAGGCTCGCAGTGAGGTCCTCTGCAGCTGTAGCGCCGCGAGAGCCTTCTCGAAGCATCGGGAGGAGGTTGCACCTCAGCGCGATGCTAGCAATTCCCCTGTCAAGAGGTTTGCATAGGAACCCGGCTCATTATCGCCGAAAAGAGAAGGTGGAACGGAACCAGGAGCCTGTCACTGTCACGGTCACAAGGGGAGCATCACACGCTGAAAGGCACAGCGATAAAAATAACCACAAGTGCGTAGCACACCAGAAGCGTAACGAGCAGAGAGGCCGGCTGTGAGGAGTTTGCCCTCGAAAGTGCTGCCAGCCGGGAGCGGGTGGAAATCTTAACTGCTTCGCGTGGTACCAAACGTGATTTTTGAAACGCTCGCCTCTCCCCGGGAGCGTAGCATCTCCGACCGCGGCCCGGCAACGGACTGCGTTCAGCAGCTCTTCGTCGCACGCTGCTTTGTATTCAGGATCTGTCGGGCCAATCTCCCGAGACGCCAGGGGAGATGTTTCACACATTGAAATGAGCTCCTTTTCTGTGAATGAGACCAAATATTTGCATGTCTCCTTATCAGCGAATGCTCGTCGCGCTCGCTCGAGTGCTGTCTTGTGATTTCCCCCTTGTCAGGTTCTGGCCTGTGGATTGACCACTGCTTAACCTTGACAGCGCAGGTGATTACCTGACTGACAGAAACACTTGTCGCCGGCTGAGGTTTGTCAAAACAGCTCTGTCTTTGTCTAGCGTCGCTCAAGGGATTGCACGAGACGTGTGGAACACAAGGAAATCCGATTCTTTAATCTTCCGTGCGCTTCTTCCCGTGACCTTATGTTTGAACAAAACCCCATTGGCTTCCTCAAGAAGAGAGAGCCCTGTTTCTTCAGTGATTGGTATCGTCGCCCTCACCCGCCGCTGCTCGAAACGCACTCGGCTCGTCCTGAAATTCCGCCCGATCTTTGCCCGTGTTTCAACGCTCACTGCTCATTCCCTGCATTTTTTTTTTACGCTCGCTGTGAAAGCGTTTCCTGCGTATCAGTGCTCAACGTGATGCCGTTTCCTGTATTTCGGTGCCCACTTCCAACGCCTGAAGCGCCAACCCGCTTTCCTCTCTCCATAGATGCCGCCTGACCCGCTGAGTGTTACCCTTACCCCGGGACAGTGCTACGCGCAATTGGCTGATGTATTTCGCCCACAAAGTACACAGTCAAGTGAATACACGCACACTTGACTGTATATTCTGTGAAGCGCTTTGAGACGACTCAACGACATGATTAGGGGCTACATCAAGTGCGAGGATTATTATTATTGTCATTATCATATCAAATGCAAAGATGGCCATTACCGAGCAGCTCCTTGACAGAGAATTGAGTCTGAGACGTCTCAAGCAGGCGAGTGGCGCTGAGGGAGTTAACATGTTAATGCAGGAAGGCATGTTGGCAGAGTGTGTGCTTCCTGGCAGTGAGAGTGACATTCTGCAGGATGCAGTTAATCTACTGGGGAAGGTGTGGACGAAATTGGGCACTGCTTGAGATTTTATGTCCTCTTCCATCACCTCCCTCCCTCCCTCCCTCCCTCCCCCACCAGGTTACTGCATTAGAAGTGGGGGGGGAGAAAGGCTCCATTGCGTTCAGCAATTGTAACAGAAAGCAACTCGACATTCGAGGGCTGTTAACGCACCTTCTGGAGAGCGACTGATCCGTGAAGTCTCACACAGCCTCTCAGTGTGGTTCAGCGCGCACTCAACTCCAGCCTGGAAGGAGCTGAGGTAACACAGGAATGAAAGTTCCCGCACAAGGGCAGCTGCTCCCCCTCAATCTGCCCTCTCACGTAGTCGCGCCTTAAGGAACGAACGAACAAACCAACAAACAAACAAACAAACTCCGCCAGTGTCCCTGGAAGGCCTTCTGCTCACCACGGTACCTTGTTTGGGCAGCGAGACTCTCTGCCATTTGTTCGTTGCCTTCTGTTTTGAAGCCCTTGAGAAAGATTTCGTGCCAATAGTTTAGTGAGATTTCAGACTCATCTGACAACTTACAGTAACAGCTCGGTTGTACATTTGGCATCTTGAGGACATCGCGTCAGGATTCACTGTACAGTGGAGTCAACTGCATCGCCACAAACATTTTATCGTGTGTACGCGCGGGTGGGGTTGGGTGTGGGGCGGGTGGTGGTGGTGGGGGTGGTGGGGGCTGGAATGTCGGCCAGGACACGGGGAGGGAGGGGAGAAGGTAATGAGACAAACAAGTGGGGAGCAAGTGAGAGAAGCACTTTGGGACATTCTCCTTATAAGTGTAAATTTGTGGAGTCCTGTAACCCAGTGGTTAGTGCGCTCGCCTCGCAAGCGAGAGGACCCGGGTTCGATTCCCAGCCAGAGCGAAACCTTAGGCAAGTGTCCTTACTCCACACGCCTCTGCTGACCAAGGAACCCGGTTGTTAGTGGATTGGCGGATCGCTTTCTGGGGGTAATAATCCTTTGAAACAAATACCAATAATAGTAATTTAGTCACTCCGCCCACGACTGTTTGTGGGGACGCCGCTGTGCGCAATCGGCTGCCGCGTTTCGTCCACAAAGTACACAGTCAATCGACTTCACAGTATGTTCTGTGAAGCGCTTTGAGACGCGATAAGGTTTTATATCAAACGAAAAGGATTATTGTTATTATTAAACAGTTGGGGTTCAGGGTGAGAGCGGCTTGACTTGGGCAATGGATCTCTGAACTCTGAACCCACAGCCGGACTTAATGGACCGTCCAAAGAGTGGCCGGACTATAGTGACGCATACTTGGTGACTGAAATCGAATAAGTCATCCAAAGATTGACAGATGGAATGAAACGCTGAGATCTGTGCTGTGACCCAGATGCTTACATGCCTGGTTGGGCTGTGTAGTACGTTGCTGAAACCGATACACTGATTTGTTTACATGGATGAATGACTTAATGTGTCACTCGCCTGATTATGACCTGAATGTTGTTGACAGCCTCGAGGTGGATGTCAGACACTTGGGTGGAGGTGGGGTGGGGGGGGGTGGGGCGAGGGAAGGAGGGAGGGATTAACGTGAACTGTCTCAGGCAAACAGAACATTGTCCCCATCTTCGACCGTGCTTTCAGTCATCTTTCGCCTCTCACACACCCTGTTCGGCTTGGATGCCCAGTCAGCAGCTTTGAAACGTCCTCTCGTCATCGCTGTTTGTATATTAATGTCAATCGTATTGCGTAAAACAACGTGGCTCAGTGGTAAGTGCACTCGCCTCGCGAGCGAGAGGATCTGGGTTCGATTCCTGGGCAAGGCAAAACCTTAGGCAAGTTTCCTTACTCCACACACCTCTGTTTACTCAGCAGTAAGTAGGAACCCAGTTGTTAGTCGACTGGTGAATCGCTTTCTGGGGGTAATAATCCCTGCGAATAAAAATAATAATTTGTTCGCTCGATCCCCGACTGTTTGTGGGGACGCTGCTGTGAGCAATCAGCTGCTGCGTTTCGCCCACAAAATACACAGTCAATTCACTTTAGAGTGATAAGGCGCTACATCAAATGCAAGGATTATTATTAATATGATTATTAAAGTGGCGCACCAGAGAGGAAATAAGACTGTAAAGGCTCGCTCTGTCCAGTGATGGTATAGAACCGCAGTGAAGACGTTATTTGAACTGAATGGAACCTAAATGCTTGGAGACGGCGAGATGCTCTGTGTAACGCTCGGGTGTGTTGTGCTTCCCACCGCAGGTTTTGACGAGTACTTCACCGGACGGACCCTGGAGAACAACCGCAGGAACGTCTGGTTTGCCGAGTTCTGGGAGGAGAATTTCGACTGCCAGGTCACCCGGACGGGATCCAAGAAAGACACGGCGAAAAAATGCACCGGTCAGTGTCTGCTTCTTGTCCTGTTCTCTCTTCAGGAACAACCTTTGGAACTCCATCCCATAGTCCCTTGGCTTCGCTCCCTCCCTCGCCTCCTTCAAGGCCTATCTCAAGACCCTTCCTCGTCTGTCACCCTCTTTACCCGCCTACCCTCCCTGTCCTCCACACCCCCCTCCTGATCCTAATCCCCAGCTCGGGCGCAAATCTTTCACCGTCCAGCGCCTTGGGATGTCCTCCCGACGTGAAAGGTGCTGTCTAAATGTCATTCGCGGTTGTTATCGCGCACCCACCCACCGCACTCTGCCTTCACCACCGAACCCACAGTCACTACACTTCACGGGAGCAGGTCAAGGCGAGCGCAGGAGTCTGGGAGCCGGGTGAGGAGATTAGTGGGGCGGGTGGAGGAGGTGGTGGGGTGCAGTCTGATCCAGCACAGAGCTAAAGGTGTCGGAAATTTATCACAGGTTTTGCTTCTTTCTGAATTTTGTCTCAGAAACGGCAGCTGCAAAAAAGACAATTGGTGCTGATCGATGGCTCAATTATGGTTGCAAACAATGTAAAATAACCTAAATGTCATTTAGGATACATGACTCGACACTAAGCAATTAGGTAAGGCATTTGTCAGGAACTCTCTGGCTTTGTACATATCAGTTGTTGAAGGTAAAAAGAGCCGGGAAAGTACTTAACAAGCGAAGGGTTGTACAAGCAACTCGAAGCACGAGGACTGTCGTGTTAATTAAATAATAACAATCACGGCTATGATACAGTGCCTCGCCACGCTGACAAGACTGTCTCAGGATCTTACTGTGAAGCGCAGTCATTGTGCGACTGCAAACGAACGGGGAGTGGTGGACAATTTGTCCCACAAACAGCCATGAAGTCAGTGACCTATTTTATTATCTGGGAAGGGGAGGGGTTGTCGGCCAGGACACCAGGAAAGAGAAACTCCCTTTCCCAGCCCCGTGCGATCCTTAACGTCCACCTAAACGACCATGGACGGGGATCTCAGTTTAGTTACTTATCCGAAGGGCAGCGCCTCTGACAATGCAAAGCTCCCACCCCACAGCTCTGCCCTGAGGTGGGTATCAGCCTCGACTGTGCGAGCTCAAAGTCCCAACGTGGGTGGGGGGGCTTGAACCCACAATCTTCTGACCCCCCCAAGTGGTGAGAGTGCCACCCACCGAGCCCGGCTGATACCTTGATGAATTAGCCGCATGTTCTCAAAGGCGTTGCCCAATGAATAAGGCCCCAAATTCCACCCGGTTTCAGGCAGCGAGATATAAGACGGCGCCAAATTGTGTGAAATTCTTAAATTCAGCCTTAATTGGGAGGCTCGTTGCTTCTTACGAACTTCGAGGGCGGGGGGGCGTTGGGGTGGGGGGGGGGGGGGGAAGGAGGGAGGAAGGGGAACAACAATCCGAATTGAAAGTGAAATCAAGATTCGTCAAGTGATAAGACCCTGTACCAAATACAAGGATTATTATTATTATGAATCAAAACACCGGCATTCCCGGTTTTTGGGAATCTCCTCGCTCTCCCACTCCCGGGCAGTGCCCTCCATCTCCCCCCCCCCCCCCACCCCCCCAGGCTGGAGGCAGAGCATCGAACATCCCGTGTATATTTTATGAAACGTAAATTGAAAACAGACGTTTCACAATTAGAAATCAATGGCTTTCCTGGGCTGAGCGATGGAGCCATTTACAGTCCTTTTTTTCCCCTTTACTGAGCGCTGCCGCACACCGCACGCGAATCCCACTCGCAGGATGCGCGTTGGCCATCCGCAGATCACGACCTGCGGACTCCTGTCGTGCATCGGTCAGCGCGCTCGCCTCGCAAGCGAGAGGAACCGGGGCCCGAGAGCGCCTCGAGACCATTCCAGACACAAACAGACGTTGCGACAAACGCGGGTGTTAAGTAGTATTAAGTAGCACGTGTCGAGCAGATATTAATAATAATCACTGCATCGGATGCAGCGGCTTATCACGTCGTCACACGGGATGACACACGGCAAAGTGACAATATTTTGTGCGTGTGAAACACGGCAGCCGAGGAGTGGGTGAGGGAGTGAGTGGGTGAGGGAGTGGGTGGGTGAGGGAGTGGGTGGGTGAGGGAGTGAGTGGGTAAGAGAGTGAGTGGGTGAGGGAGTCGGTGGGTGAGCGAGTGAGTGAGTGACCAGTTTTATTTGGGGGAAGGTTGGCCATGACTCCCGACATCCCAAACACGTGGCTTCTGACACCGATAAAGGCGGGAAGTGATGCGCTCCTGTGCCGGGAACACAGTCGCAGAGGCCGTCTTCAATAACCGCTCAGGCGACTGGGCCAAAGTGGCCTCGATATAAAGGTGGCCTCTGTGTCAGGGTTCCAGGGTGGTCGTTGGCAGGAGGTGGTTGCTGAATGGAGGTGGGGGCCTTGAACAGGATCGACAGTCTCGGGGCGTTAGGAAGTCAGGGCAACTAACTCTACCTGTATATTTCGGGCCAACCCAATTTTGCATGCGGAGCAGTACTGTGAGAACCTGGCACTTTGCTGGCAACGGAGTCATTTATGCTCATTAAGGACAGTTTTGTCATATTAAGCCTGCTGCTGCCAGGCTAACGAGACATAATGAAGCAGTACTAATGCCAACTGTTGTATCATGTTCTATTTATTTTTGCGTAATGGCCTGCGTTTGCAGTCTAAAGCAAATAGCCTTTTATCATTATTGTTTGTGAGTGCTCTCCATCACTCACTCTCCTCCGTCTTTGATGCCCTGCGCCAAGCCAAGCCAGTCGTTCCATGTCTTGCCTCCCGCTCAGAGAGAAAGAGAGAGAGACCGCGCACTGACGGTCACGAGAATGTTTCCCGGGGGCGGATTGAGGCTTCGTCCTGGGAAGGAGGGGGAGGGTGTGTGTGGGGAGTGGGTTTCAATGGGGGTGCCTTCATTCAGATTATTAGCTGCCACCTTTTATGGGAGGGGGGGGGGGTGGGGGGGCGGGAGAGGGCTCTAGTAATGGATTCAATGGGGGGATTTAATAGGGTTACACTGAACTGAATCTTTACTCTGTCCATTGGATTCCGATTAGATAAAAGCTAATTTCCCCTCCCCCCCCCCCCCCGGGATGATCCCAAAAAGCAACTGCAACTCTCATAATAATAATAATAATAATAATAATCCTCGCATGTGATACAGCGCCTTATCACGTCTTTGAGACGTCTCAAAGCGCTTCACGGGATACACTGTAAAGTGGAAGTGACTGTACATTTTGTGGGCGAAACGCGGCAGCCAATTCGGCACAGACACAGCGTCCCCACAAACAGTCGTGGATCGAGTGACCAAAGTATCTTTCCAGCACCTTGGGACTTCCTTCCGACGTGAAAGGCGCGATAGAAATGTAGTTTTGTTGTTGTTGTTGTTGTTGTTGTTGTTACCCACCATGACTAATTAGCTTCCTGGTGACTTACGGGAAATCAATCAAAAACAAATGAAAATGTAACAGCACATTACTTCAGACGGACACATGTTTTTTTTTTACCCGCTTTAAATTAAGCGAATTAGTTACGTGACGTATGAATTACTCACTCACGGGTGGGTGTGCGGGGAGGGTGGTGGGGGAGACTGCCATTTGCCAGTAATTGTTTAATTAATTCTATCTCGCACTAAAGAAAATGATATTAAAATGACTTAGGACACAGACCTCATAAACCAGCTTTAAGTAATTATTAATCCCTTAACGTCAAAGTAGAAGATTGCTCGTTGCAGAGAAACATTACTGAAGATAAAAGCTAATTTACCCAAATGCAATCAATTTGACTCCCGGTTACTTTATTACTTCGAAAACTCAATGAAATATTTACCGCAGTTTTTTTTTTTAAAAAGCTCTCGCTTAACGATTGCGAAAAGCTGCTGTTAATCAATTAATGCACTGGGCAGGGGAAGGAAAAGATGTCTTCCTCGCGTCGGTTTAAACTGCCCCCAACACTCCCCACCCCAGAAAACGAAGTTGAGCTTGAAAGTGCCCCGTGTTACACTAGTTAACCCCTTGCGTTGATGTCATTGGCGGACTGCAAGGGTTAACTTAACCACTTCTGAACTGTGCGTGTGTCTTTGTGTGTCTTCGCAGCACCAAACTGGTTAAACTCAACATATCCTCTCTGCCTGCTGTCAACAGTCAGTTCACTTTACAGTATGTCCTTTGAAGCGCTTTGAGATGTCTCGAAGACGCGAGAAGGCGTAACATCAAACGCATGGATTATTATTATTATTAATATTATTATATTGCTATCCTTGTCCCGCAGGTAAAGAGAGGATTGGTTCAAGCACCCAATACCAGCAGGAGGGGAAGGTGCAGTTTGTAATTGATGCTGTCTATGCCATGGCTCACGCACTACACAACATGCACCGAGACTTCTGTCCAGGCTACATTGGCATCTGTCCTGCCATGGACCCTGTCAATGGCGAGGATTTCCTGAGATACATCCGCAGCGTCCAATTCAATGGTGAGTGAGAGACTGACCGTGGCTACACCCTGTCCATTTCAATGGGAGTGACTTAGATATTTTTTTGGGGGGGTCAGCCGGGTGTCTGACACACGTGGAAACCCATCACCGTCGCTTAGGAGTCTCCAAACCCAACTGAGAATTCCATGTCTCCCACCTACACATGGAAATCCCAGAGATAGACTGTTGGAATGGAATGCGCTCTCTCTCTCTCCCCCCCCCCCAAGAGACACTTCCTGCTTACCTAATTCTGGAAAGTATTAGGTGCAGGTTGGCAAACCCCAAGGCTTGGGGGGGGGTCCCTAGAGTGTGCGTTGGGGTAACTGCTGGAGTCTAAGTAGCTAATACCACAGAGCTCGCTATTGAGAGCGCTGTCTGGCAAACTTTCCCGCTGCTTGTCCAGCTAAGACCACCCTACACGTTAGGGCTTTGGCTTGTAGGGTTAACAGGAGCTGAGTGGGAGGATTCCCCCAGTGTGGTGAGCAAGAGACTGACCTTAGCTATACATTGTCCATTTGAATAGCGAGTGAGACACTGACTGACCTTAATGAACAAAGAGGCGAGTTCCTTGGTATTATCAAAAGCGACTTAGGTAAACGCTTGAAAACGAGACGTATAAAAGGGTAGCGAAGGGGTGTTGGGGCAAACAAATAGCTCTTCAGAGAGAGGAGGAGGAGGACTGCGTAGTCAATAGCTGCCTCCTGTGCTGAGCAACTATTGTAAGGTTCCCTTAGCACGAGCACCCGAACTGACCGGCAGAGTGGAGCCTGTGAAACTAATCTGAGTCCCTGCGGGAGGTTATTGTACTCTCTGCCTCCTGTGCCACAGGACAGTGGGTAATGTTCGAAACCAACTCAGAAAGTTACAGACTTGCCTCACGCCATCCAACGAGAGCGCACGAATCTCACGCCTGGTAAACGGCAGCGATACACACGCACACAAAACACGAACCGCTTAGCTCCTAACGTTAGTGAAAGCTCCTCATTGCCGAGGCTCGGTGTTTAGGTTTGACGTGTCGCTGGGGATTGTACGGGAGTAGGTAGCTCGGGATATGAATCCGCCCGGCTGTGAGCCTTGCCTTGGAATCCAGTCGCAATCCGGCTGAGAGAGGAGAAAACGTTAAAGTAGATTTTTCTTCTCGTCGCGAGCGGATAATACACAACACATCTTCGAAACGTGACTGAGATGAACGAAGCACTTTGGTTGCAATCTGTTGGTGCGATTTGGGGAATTTGTGTTATTTTTGTGACTCCCCCCCCCCCCCCCTCCCCCCCGACCACACACAATAATAATCCTTGTATTTGGTAAAGGACCCTTCACATCAGAAGGACATCTCGAAGTGCTGTGCTTCACGGGGTTTTACTGTAAAGTGAAGTGACTGCGTGTTCTAAACAACCTTCACGTCAGTGAAGAGAGAGAAAGTGAACCACGGAGAGATATGTTATAAGGGAGAGGGAGTCAGAGACGGAAAGAGAATGAAACACAGAGATTTAGAGCCAGACCGAGAGAGAGAAACAGAGAGAGTGAAACACAGAGACCTATAATAATAATAACCCTTGCATTTGATGTAGCGCTTTTTACGTCTTCGAGACGTCTCAAAGCGCTTCACAGAATAGATTGTTAAGTGAATTGACCGTATATTTGTGGGCGAAACGCGGCAGCCAATTGCACGCAGCAGCGTTCCACAAACTGTCGTGGATTGAAGTGACCGATTTATTATTTTTTTGAGGTATTATTATCAGGCGTGTGTGTGGAGTAAGGAAACTTGCCCAAGACTTCGCCCTACCAGGAATCGAACCCAGGTCTCTCACTTGCAAAGCGAGTGCTCTAACCACTGAGCTACAGGACTCCACATAGAGCAAGACAGACAGACAGAGACAACAACAACATAATTACAATTGTAAAGCGCCTTTCACGTCGGGAGGACATCCCAAGGCGCTGAGACAGAGACAGAGAGACGCAGCACGATAGAGACAGACAGACAGACAGAAAAAATCATTTTATGACTCTGTTCACTGTGAAGCTTCTCTGTAGAAATCTCCGGCTGAGACTTGGGGGTGGACAACGATCCTTCATTAAGAAGCAGTTCATCTTTATTATCGGTCAGCGCTATCGCCTCCGCTAATTAATCCCATAGAATGAGGGAAAAGGTTATGCAATGAGCTTAATGTATTGAAAACGAAATTCTCTCCATCTCTCGGTGTGGCTGCTTCTGTACGTCTGTCTCATTCTCTCTCACGTCTTTCTCGCTTTCAGTCTCCAGTTTCTTTCATTCTCTGCTTTTGTCTTTCGCTAATTCTCCGTCTCATTCTCCCTTCCCTCTGTCGGCCTCTGTCTCTTGCTCTGTCTTGCTTGTTCTGCCTCTTGTAATGAGTCTCAATCTACAACACTGGTGTGTTAACTAACTCCTTTATTCAGTGCTTCCAAACAATCAGATACTCCAATGGTAAACACACAAATCCTCCTTGGTGGGGAGGGGAAAAGTGTGGGCGGCGGTGGGGGGGGTGGTAATCGGGATCTTCTTGGAGCTGAACTGGCTCCAAAGTGTTAACAGTGTCCGAATCGAACCAGCCCTCTGTGACGGTTTCTCTCTCTCTCTCTCTCTCTCTGCTCTGTTTAACCCTTTCGACCACACCAATGTTCTGCTCCTGTCTTGCCCTCAGGCAGTGCTGGGACCCCAGTGAAGTTCAATGAGAAGGGCGATGCCCCCGGCCGCTATGACATCTTCCAGTACCAGCTCCGAGGGAACAACACCTGGGATTACAGGGTCATCGGCCAGTGGACAGACCATCTCCAGCTCAACGTAAGTCACCTCACTGCCCGCAGCTCAGCACGGGGTTACTACCTGATCTTAAGTCACGTCCCTTTTTCTGCTATCCCTTCTCATTCACTCCCCTCTTTCCCGCGCTCTCTCTCTTCCTCTCTCCCCATCTATCCCTCTCTCTCCCTCTCTCTTTCCCTCCAACCCTACCTCCCTCTTTCCCTCTCTCTCCGAACTGAAAGCCCATTCCCAGAGCCAGGGCCTCTCAGAACGAGCCTTTGGCCCCCGAGGGTTGGGGCAGGCGAGACCCAGGTTCCTCCCGAGCCGTTCTGTGGAGTAGCCCTGGCTGGTGTAACCAGTTAAAGGGAAAATATTAACACAAGAGCTTGTCAAATCCAGCTATAAATTCAGTGTCTGTGTGTGTGCGTGTGTGTGTAAAAAAAACCCTGTCTGCAACAGAGAGGCACTTAATGTGGTTCCTCGGTGGCAGAATGTATTCATCCATTCTTATGCATCCAATACTAATGGGCTGTAACGTGCGGAGCCTGTTAACGATGGGATCACTCGCTGCCTTTAGCTGACTGCAAACTCTGTCACAATGTTTATCATCATTTGATCATTTTCTCGAAAGGATTCCACTACCTTGGAGCCAGGGGTTTGGTGTCGGGGGAGCGTAGGAACGGGAGGAGGCCATTCAGCCCCTCCAGCCTGTTCTCCCATTCTATTAATCATGGCCGATCTGTACCCCAACTTTGTTTACCCGCCTTTGCCCCATATCCTTTGATGTCCTTAACTAACGAAACTCTATCGACCTGGGTCTTGAAAATTTCAAATCATCCAACATCCAAAGCCTTTTGGGGGAGAGAGTTCTGGGGGGGGGGGGGCGATAGGGGTTCGGGAGAGGGGGGGGGGGAATAACCCCAATCATTCTGCTTTTCCCCGAAGTCAAGGATCCATTATTAATAATAATCCATGCATTTGATTTGGCACCTTATCACAACCATTGAGACGTCTCAAAGCGCTTCACAGAATATACTGTAAGGTGTAGTGAAGTGACCCTGTATTTTGTGTGGAGGGGTTGGGTGGGGGGCGGGGGGGACCTGACAGCCAATTGCGCATGGCAGCGTCCCACAGTCGTAGATTTTGAGTGACAGCATTTTCTTTGAAGGGATTATTACCCCCCGAAAAGCCATCCGTCAATCGACTAACCAGGTTCTTACTTACCTCTGGGTATCCGGAGGAGTGTGTGCGTGTGGAGTAAGGGCACCTGCTTAAGATTGCGCCCTGCCCCACCCGGGAATCGAACCTCCCACCCCCACCCCCCCTCTCTCTCTCTCTCTCTCTCTCTCCCTCGATAGTAGTTGGAAGCGCAGAAGAAGAATGATGAACTGCGCGCTTTTAAACTGGAATTAATTTCTTAATGCGCTGCAGTTGGATGTTGTGATAGCCTCGTCGGCTTTTGTCTGAGCGTGCTAATTTGCTTCTGCTTCGCTGCGTGGGGTCTCGTTAATCACAGAGACGGGAGCTCGGTATGCGTGTAAGGCAATCGGCGGCGGGGGGCGGGGTAGGGGGTGGTTAGGGGGTTATGAGGGGTGAGAGGGGGGTGGGGGTGTCAGTGTGAGGGGGAGGCGTGAGAGCTGAGACCCTGACCTGTTGTCACAGTGATTGAAATCTCTCGGTATTACCGGCTTCACTCGCCATTTATCATCGTCTTCCGTCGGCCGCACCTCACCGCAGACACGCTGACGGCTGCCGTAAACGCTCTCGCTCTGCGAGGGCAGAACCCCGGGGGGCAGGAGGCACAGTCGGAGGTGGCGCCGCGATCTTAATTTGTTGGATCCCTTCAGTTGCTTCCGTCCTGGTGTCATTTCCAGTGTTATTCATAGCTGTTACAGTGATCTGCAACCTGTCTCTCTCTCGCTTGCTCTCTCTCACACACAAACACACACACACACACACACACACACCAAGCACAGCTTCCCCACCCCTCCCCACACACACACATATTCACTGACACTGACTCTCACTCACATTCACTCAAACTGACACACACACACACACACACACGCACGGCACTCATTCTCACTCACTCGCATGCTCTCACTGACACACACTCGCACGCACTCACACTCACATACACACAGCTACACTGACACTCTCTGACTCTCACTGACACACTGTCACACACACACACACACACACAGTCACACACACACACACACACAGTCACACACACATTTACACTGGCTCGCTCGCTCTCTCTCTCTCACAGTGTGTTGAGATGTGAGCCGAGAGTGACAGAGATGCGGTTGGTGAAAGGCCAGTGTAGAGCGGTCGGTGCACGTAAAGATCTCAGCTCAGTCCAACGATGGAGCCCAATTCACAAGGAGAATAAATTTCAGCCTGAGTTAATGGGGCTTGAGATAGAGGCATGAATGTGTGATGAATATGTAAAGGCGAGACGGAGAATCTTACACTGACAGTCTGTAAGAAATTACAGCCCACATTTGAGAAAAACTCTTCCCTTGAAAATTGCCTCTCACTGAAGCGATCAGTTTTGTCTCCTGTGCCGTAAAGTTCCCTCTCGGCTACTTAACCTGCACCTATAGCTCCGTCTCAGTCTGTAGCGCTCTCGCCTCTGAGGTTGTGGGTTTGAGCCCCCTACGGCGGGGACTTTGAGCTCACAGTCTGGGCTGAAGGTTCAGTGCGGTACTGGGGGAGAAGTGGGGGGAGTGCCCAGATGTTAAAGCTCTCGCGGCGCTATTCAAAAAGAGAAGGGATGAATAGTAATAATAATAATTGATGAGTTCCGATACAGAGCCTCATCACGTCGTCGCGACGTCTCCACGCGCTGCGTGGGATTTACTGTAAAAGTGTAGTGACTGTGCGCTTTTGTAGGCCAAGGGAGAGGGAAGGGGGAGGCCTTAGCATCAGGAGACTCCAAACAAAGTGCTGGTACTTGTAAAGACACAGTAAACACACAGCAAACAATAATAATCCTCGCATTTGATACGGCGCCTCATCACGTCTTCGAGACGTCTCAAAGCGCTTCCCGGGATACGCTGTAAAGTGAAGTGACTGTGTATTTCGTGGGCGAAACGCGGCAGCCGATTGCGCGCGGCAGCGTCCCCCACAGACACTCGTGGATTGAGCAAATTCACAGTAAATACACAGCTTTTGGAGATGTTTCGATCTCATGAGTCGCTTGTAGGAAAGCCCAGGATTATCCTAACAATCAGTGACAGGCCGCGGGGGTGGGGGGAAGGGTGGGGGGAGAGGCACAACGTGTTTGTTGGGGGTGCGGGGGGGACGGGGAAGCGGGAGAGGAAGCAGAGAGTCACAGCGTGTCCATCCGTTAGAATTCGCTAGGTTAATGAGCGTGTGCTAACGACGCTAATAAATCTCCTCCACGCTGCGGGAATACACAATCACTCCGGATACTTAGCCCGGCGAGCAGACAGGAGGGAGGGGGAAGGGTGTGTGTGATGGGGTGGGGGGGCACGTGTGTGTGATGGGGTGGGGGGGCAGGTATGTGTGATGGGGTGTGTGTGTGGCAGGTGTGTGTGTGGGGGTCACTTGAACTGTAGATGATTCTGCCTTAATAGGAGTAATAGGCACATAGACACACACACATAGACAGACACACACACATAGACACACACACATAGACAGACACACACACATAGACAGACACACACACATAGACACACACACATAGACAGACACACACACATAGACAGACACACACACATAGACAGACACACACACATAGACAGACACACAGACAGACACACACACATAGACAGACACACACACATAGACAGACAGACACACACACAGACAGACACACACACATAGACACAGACACACACAGGCAAGACACACGCCAGCGCTGACCGGCCGTCTCCGCGGCCTGGCTCTCGCTGCTCGGTTGCCCAACCCTTCACGAGGCCGTTGTTTCCCTCTCTCCCTCCCTCACACCCCTCACCCCCCACACACAGATGGAGGATCTGCAGTGGGCCGGGGGGAGCCGGGCGGTGCCAACCTCGGTGTGCAGCCTGCCCTGCCGGCCGGGCGAGCGCAAGAAGCTGGCGAAGGGCGCGCCGTGCTGCTGGCAGTGCAAGCCGTGCGGCGGCTACCAGTACCAGCGCGACGAGTTCACCTGCTCGCTGTGCAGCTACGACACGCGGCCGAACGCCACCGGCACGGGCTGCAGCCGCATCCCGGTGGTCAAGCTGGAGTGGCACTCGGCCTGGGCCGTGGGGCCGGTGCTGCTGGCCGTGCTGGGCATCGCGGCCACGGGGATGGTGGCGGCCGTCTTCGTGCGTCACAACGACACTCCCATCGTGCGGGCCACCGGGCGCGAGCTGAGCTACGTGCTGCTGGCCGGCATCTTCCTCTGCTACGTCATCACGTTCCTGATGATCGCCGAGCCCGACGTGGGCGTCTGCTCGTGCCGCCGCCTCTTCCTGGGCCTGGGCCTGTGCGTCAGCTACGCGGCCCTGCTGACCAAGACCAACCGCATCTACCGCATCTTCGAGCAGGGCCAGCGCTCGGTCACGCCGCCCCGCCTGATCAGCCCGGCCTCGCAGCTGGCCGTCGCCTCCAGCCTGATCTCGGTCCAGCTGCTCGGCGTGCTCGTGTGGTTCGGCCTCGACCCGCCCCACGTCGTGGTGGACTACGACGAGCGCAAGACGGCTGACCCCCGGCAGGCCCGGGGGGTCCTGCGCTGCGACATCACCGACCTGCAGATCATCCTGTCGCTGGGCTACAGCATCCTGCTCATGGTCACCTGCACGGTCTACGCCATCAAGACCCGCGGCGTGCCCGAGAACTTCAACGAGGCCAAGCCCATCGGCTTCACCATGTACACCACCTGCATCGTCTGGCTGGCCTTCATCCCCATCTTCTTCGGCACGGCCAAGTCGGCGGAGAAGGTAAACACACAAAAAGGGTTGGGGGGTGGGGGTAGGGGGGGGACAAACACACACTCCTTACTCCCTCTCTCTCCCCCCCCCTCCCCCCCACCTCTCTCCCCCCTCCTCTCTCCCCCCCTCCCCCGCCCCTCCCCCTCCCTCCCTCTCTCTCCCTCCTTCTCCTCCCCCTGTCCCCCTCCCATACCCTTCTATTCCCTTCTCCCTCCTGCCTATGTCTAGTCTAACCTCCACAAGGCGCTATGTCAAATGCAAGGATTATTAACATTAATGTTATGTTATTACAGTTTAAATCACCGCATAACGGTAGTTTCTAAGGGGTTTTCAGGGATGGGCAGCCAGACCAGGAGCATTGCCACGTTACATCTGAATGGACGTTACGTTTCTTAGTGTGTCTGAACTTTCTAAAACAGTGACATATTGCGGGAGGTTTGATATTTTGTTCAACCGGGTAGGTTTGTCAAGTCGTATCCTGAATAGCCTTATTAACAGTCCCAGTGGTATCGACGATGATGGGAACTATATGTTTGTTTTGTACAATCACATACGTCTGCGTTCAATTTGTAGATCGATATATTTGCTGATTATTACAGTTGTTGTTATGATCTGAGCTATAGGGGAACTGAGCGCTGACTGAGACTCCATTGCAATCAAACGTTGTCTGTCGCCTGAGTCCCTTCAACAACACAATCTAGACTTTGGCTGATTCCTTTCCAACGGAGCGCGAAACCTTATTATTTCCAACTCAAGGGAACCTGATGCACCTTTTTTTTTCCTTCCAGCCAGTCAGGCCACTTATCAGGGTGTGAGCTTCTCTGTACCTGCGGTGAAGCCGGCTACGTGCGTGAGAATAGGATCGAAATGACAGTCCTAATAGGAGGCTTGTGGTGCAGTCAATGATTTCTAGCAGGTTTGATGATATTTGTGGAGTCCTGTAGCACAGTGGTTAGAGCACTTGCCTCACAAGCGAGAGAATCTGGATTCGATTCCCAGGCAGGGTGAAGCCTTGGACAAGTTTCTTTTCTCTTGACACCTCCGTTTACCCAGCAGTAAGTAGGAACCTGGTTGTTAGTCGATTGGCAGATTGCTTTTTGGGGGTAATAATTCCTTAAATTAATCCATGACTGTTTATGGGACGGTACTGGGCGCAATTGGCTGACACGTTTCGCCCACGAAACATACAATCAATTCACTTTTACGGTATGTTCTGTGAAACGCTTTGAGACATCTTGAAGACGTGATAAGTCGCTATGTCAAATGCAAGGATTATTATTATGATTATTATTATTATTATCTGATGATAATGATAATAATAATATCAATTCTTACTGAACAGCCTCATAAATGTCTGATTGAGAACAATGTAAAAGCTGCTGAGCGAAAGGGATGTTGGAAAGGATCTTATGGATGGCAGGACAACTACTAATTAACAACATGATAAAAACAACATGACAACTACTAATTAACAACTACAAAACGCAAATGCAGGTTGAGCAAGTTTGATTATAAATTGATTGAAAGTATTTGACAGTGTTCTTCAAAGCTGGGTTAGCAAATGCGCAGAGATATACGAACTTAACCCCAGTCCTTTTGAACCCCATAAATAATGCAATGAAGAAATGGAAAACTGAAGCAATTTTGCGATACGAAGGAGGTATTATTCTGACAAACAAAATGAAAATCAAGGAAGGAATTTTCCAAAGGAGACTCCTTTCGCTGCTCATCTTTCGGAGCTCCTCTCAGCTCGGAACTAAACGACAGTGCATATGGCTATGAACTGAAACACACAACACTCAAACAAAGAAACTGACCATCCACCCTATAATGGATGACCTATAACTATAACGTTTCACCCACAAAATACACAGTCAAACCTTGCATTTGATATAGCGCCTTACGACATCTTCGAGATGTCATAAGACGCTATATCGAATGCAAGGATTATTATTATTAAAGTGTTCAAAAAGCTGACAACAATCAGCTCGGCCAAGACATACCAATAAAAGGACTAAATCCAAATGAAGTGTATAAATAACTTGGAATAGATGAAAGTGATGGAATGGATCATAAAAGTATGAAATTGAAAGCCGTTTCTGAATATATAAGGAGAGTCGGCTTGGTATTGAAAACAAAGTTAAATGCCATAAATAAAATATTTGCTGTTAATACGATTGCAATATCAGTAAGAACCTACAGCTTTTGGGGGGGGGGGGTCAGCCGGGTGTCTGACACACGCGGAAACCCATCACCGTTGCTTAAGAGCATCCAAACCACGTTGAGAATTCCCCACCTCCCACTACACATGGAAATCCCAGAGATAGATTGTTGGAATGGAATGTGTCTCTCTCTCTCTTCCTCTCTCCCTGGAGGGCCGCATCCTGCTCACCTAATTCCAGATAGCATTAGGCACAGGTTGGCAAGAGCGAAGGCCTGGGGGGGGGAGCCCAGAGTGTGCGTTGGGGGTAACTGCTGGAGTCTAAACAGCTAAAGCCGCATAGCTTGCCATTGATATTGCTGTCCGGTAAGCTTTCCCGCCGCTTGTCCAGCTAGGACCACCCTACCCGTGAGGGCTTCAGCTTACAGGGTTAACAGGAGCTGAGTGGATGATCGAAGATCTGAAAAATATTGCTGGAAATGTGCGAAAACTGTTGACCGTTCACGGCCTTATATTGATGTAAAAGCTGATTGCCAATCTATTTATACGCCAAGAAAAGGAGGAGAAAGAGGCCTGATTGAAATTGAAGCATTTTATGAATCAGCAATTGTAGGTTTGGTTGAATATATCAGAACAAGTCCCAACGGAGGGCATCGAAATGATAGAAAAACATGAAAATCAGAACAAAGTAATGTCCCACCATTAAAGAAAGCAATCTAGATCAAACAAGAATATGACAGCCATCAAAAGGAAATAGCAGCTAAACCAATGCAAATGGCACATGGAATGAAAATTGTCCTTAAACGATATCTTGTAGAAAAAAAATGAATGGGAGAAGAAAATGTATGGTCAATTTTCAAGAGAAATGAAAGAACAAGGACGTAGATTGGAACCAAAGCTACGAGTGATTAACTCAGGGGGATCTGAGAACCGAAACAGAAGCTCTCAGAATATCAGCACAAGAGAAATCTACTACTGTAATAGTCCTATGTGGTCCTTGCATTTGACGTAGCGCCTTATCGTGTCTTCGAGACGTCTCAAAAGCGCTCCACAGAATATACTGTAACTTGGTTTGACCGTGTGCTTTGTGGGTGAAACGCGGCAGCCAATTGCCGCAGCAGCGTCCCACAAACAGTCGTGGATGCAGTGACCAAATTATTATTTGTTTTATTTTGAAGGGATTATTGCCCCCGGGAAAGCCATCCGCCAATCGACTACCAACCAGGTTCTACTTACGACCGGGTACGCCCTCCCTGGGAATCGAACCCAGGTTCTTTTGCTTGCGAGGCGAGTGCTCTAACCACTAAGCTACAGGACTCCACTTAAAGATCTTAAAGCGAAAGATTGATCCAAAATGCTGAAGATATCATCAAGTACCGGAAACTAAGGACCACATATTGTCATCATGTCCAGCCTTTGCACAATCAGAGTATCTCATTCGACATAATAGCATTGCTTAATATACTCACTGGACAATTTGTAAACACTCGGATATTGATGGAAAGACCAACCAAACGTGACATCAAAACATAACATCACAATTATTTTGGGATTCGCAAGTACACAGAAGTAATCTGTAACAAACTAGGCATCACCATAAAAATAAATAGATTGTAGATGTAGTACTGTTGATGCGAGGATCCCAAGTGATTACAGCGTAAGAACTAAGGAACGTGAGAAGTACAGGAAATATATCGAATTACAAATTGATTGCAGATGCATGTGATTATATAAAACAAACATAGTTCCTACAAGCATCGGTGCAACTGGGACTGTTAATAAGACTATTCAGAAGCAGCTTGACAAAATACCCGATGAACAAAACATCAAACTCCTGCAAAAAAGCTGCGATTTTAGGAATCTCAAATATATTAAGAAAAGTATCATCTTATTCGTGTATAACGTGGCAGTGTTATTTGTCTGGGTGACCCATCACTGAGAAACACTTAGAAACTACCCCTACGGAGTGATTTCGAACTGTAACAGCAACATAATAATAATAATCCTCGCTTTCGAAACAGGGCCTTTCACCCCAAAAGAACCCCTTAAAGCATTTCCAAGGATTCTTACTGTATAAAGTGAAGCGACTGCAGCTTTGTAGGTAAAAGTGGCAGCGATTTGTGGGATCTTTAACGTCCGCCTGAACCAGGCACAGACAAGACCTCGGTTAAGCGTGAGCCTTCTCCTGTTGTCGCTGGCTATCAGTTGCACCCCCCGCCCCCAAATAGAATCGGTCGTTCACTTCTTGGCTGTTTGCGGGGCATGTGGCTGTGTGCAAACTGGCCGCCAAACCACTTTACCGTATATCCTGCGATACCCTTTAGGCTGTTCTCCCGACGTGAGAGGGATTTGAGCGCAGAGTGCTTTTGGGCAAGGTAATAAAATGAAGGAAAGGTGGTTATTAAGATCACGCTGTAAATTTTCTAATCGCGTCTCCAGCGGGTGAGCTAGCGACGCTGTTTGATGAGAGAGAGAGAGAGAAAATTGTTGCTCGTGTAATGTCTAACCAGCTGTTTTCACAACTGGAATCGTTTCTAATTGTAACCCGTTAGATGCAACAATAATTGGTTGGCTGAAGGCATTTAGTCAATTAGATGGAAGCCTTGACTGAGCCAAGGTGGATCGCACGGAATTAAGTTCTAATGAAAGGCAGCTGTAAAGTGCAATCGGCATTATCACCGCTGGTAACCAACCCAGCGCCCACGCATTCCGTCCACTTCCCCTACCCCCCCCCCACCCCTACCCCCTCCCCCACACCACCCCTCCCACTCACCCTCGGACTGGGAGTTAGTGCAGAATCGACTTAGTCAAGCGTCAATTCCTCTTTAATCTTCCTACACTTGTTCCA